TGGTGGGGGGATCGTGTGGGCTGGTGGGGGGAGTGTGTGGGATTGTGGGGGAAGTGTGTTGGCTGTTGGTGGAGTGTGTGGGCTGGTGGGCGGAGTGTGTGGGATGGTGGGGGGATCGTGTGGGCTGGTGGGCGGAGTGTGTGGGCTGGTGGGGGGGATCGTGTGGGCTGGTGGGCGGAGTGTGTGGGCTGGTGGGCGGAGTGTGTGGGCTGGTGGGCGGAGTGTGTGGGCTGGTGGGCGGAGTGTGTGGGCTGGTGGGGGGATCGTGTGGGCTGGTGGGGGGGATCGTGTGGGCTGGTGGGCGGAGTGTGTGGGCTGGTGGGCGGAGTGTGTGGGCTGGTGGGAGGATCGTGTGGGCTGGTGGGCGGAGTGTGTGGGCTGGTGGGCGGAGTGTGTGGGCTGGTGGGGGGGATCGTGTGGGCTGGTGGGCGGAGTGTGTGGGCTGGTGGGCGGAGTGTGTGGGCTGGTGGGGGGATCGTGTGGGCTGGTGGGCGGAGTGTGTGGGCTGGTGTACGGAGTGTGTGGGCTGGTGGGCGGAGTGTGTGGGCTGGTGGGCGGAGTGTGTGGGCTGGTGGGCGGAGTGTGTGGGCTGGTGGGCGGAGTGTGTGGGCTGGTGGGCGGAGTGTGTGGGCTGGTGGGGGGATCGTGTGGGCTGGTGGGGGGATCGTGTGGGCTGGTGGGGGAAGTGTGTGGGATGGTGGGGGATCGTGTGGGCTGGTGGGCGGAGTGTGTGGGCTGGTGGGGGGATCGTGTGGGCTGGTGGGCGGAGTGTGTGGGCTGGTGGGCGGAGTGTGTGGGCTGGTGGGCGGAGTGTGTGGGCTGGTGGGCGGAGTGTGTGGGCTGGTGGGCGGAGTGTGTGGGCTGGTGGGGGGATCGTGTGGGCTGGTGGGGGGATCGTGTGGGCTGGTGGGGGAAGTGTGTGGGATGGTGGGGGAGTGTGTGGGCTGTTGATGGAGTGTATGGGCTGGTGGGGGGATCGTGTGGGCTGGTGGGGGAAGTGTGTGGGCTGTTGATGGAGTGTGTGGGCTGGTGGGGGAAGTGTGTGGGCTGGTGGGGGAAGTGTGTGGGCTGTTGATGGAGTGTGTGGGCTGGTGGGGGAAGTGTGTGGGCTGGTGGGGGAAGTGTGTGGGCTGGTGGGGGAAGTGTGTGGGCTGGTGGGGGAAGTGTGTGGGCTGGTGGGGGAAGTGTGTGGGCTGGTGGGGGAAGTGTGTGGGCTGGTGGGGGAAGTGTGTGGGCTGTTGATGGAGTGTGTAGGCTGGTGGGCGGAGTGTGTGGGCTGGTGGGGGAAGTGTGTGGGCTGGTGGGGGAAGTGTGTGGGCTGGTGGGGGAAGTGTGTGGGCTGGTGGGGGAAGTGTGTGGGCTGGTGGGGGAAGTGTGTGGGCTGTTGATGGAGTGTGTGGGCTGGTGGGGGAAGTGTGTGGGCTGGTGGGGGAAGTGTGTGGGCTGTTGATGGAGTGTGTGGGCTGGTGGGGGAAGTGTGTGGGCTGTTGATGGAGTGTGTGGGCTGGTGGGGGAAGTGTGTGGGCTGGTGGGGGAAGTGTGTGGGCTGTTGATGGAGTGTGTGGGCTGGTGGGGGAAGTGTGTGGGCTGGTGGGGGAGTGTGTGGGCTGGTGGGGGAGTGTGTGGGCTGGGGGGGGGGAGTGTGTGGGCTGGTGGGGGCTGGTGGGGGAAGTGTGTGGGCTGGTGGGGGAGTGTGTGGGCTGGGGGGGGAGTGTGTGGGCTGGTGTGGGCTGGTGGGGGAAGTGTGTGGGCTGGGGGGGGGAAGTGTGTGGGATGGTGGCAGGGGTGTGTGGGATGGTGGGGAAGTGTGTGGGCTGGGGGGGAAGTGTGTGGGATGGTGGCAGGGGTGTGTGGGATGGTTGAGAAGTGTGTGGGCTGGTGGGAGGCGCGGAAGGGTTAACAATTGACTAAGTGATTTTGTTATGATTTCTCCTGACTGATTTCTCCTGACTGATTTCTCCTGACTGATTTCTCCTGACTGATTTCTCCTGACTGATTTCTCCTGACTGATTTCTCCTGACTGATTTCTCCTGACTGATTTCTCCTCTTGTATTTACACGTGCCAGTGGGGTGGTAGCAGGCGGGAAACGTGTGTGTAGTTTATAACTGTGTTCATGTCCCAGTAGTTCACAGAGATGTTTTAAAGCCAATCATTATGTACAGCTGCGTCACACTAATCACGTATTTCAATGTACTTATGTCACATTAAAGGCCCATATGTCTGATCATATATGTATGTGCATGGATAAATAAGTACAACACATTGCTATGTGCATGAAATGTGTCCTCTGTTAATGCATGATCACTATATATATATATATATATATATATATATATATATATATATATATATATATATATATATATATATATATATATATATATATATATATACTGTGTGTACATATGTGTGTCACGGTGTGCTGTGTACTAATATTTGACTAGCGTTCATGTAAAATTATTTTTTTAATGTAAGATTCTAAGGGGACAAATGTCCCCCGTCCCCACGGTTAGTACTACATACACTGTTAGTGCTACATCTCACCGCTAGATGGACCAAAAGTCCCCACACTATTACCGCCTCAACTCGCCGTGTATGATGTAAACGCTGCTCTGATTGGTCAGAACCCTGCGGCTATCGATTTCCTCCTTGCTTACGGCAAGTTCATTGAGAAAACCTTTCGCTTTTTTGTTGAAGGGACGTGTCTTGATGGACAAGATACTTACACCATTGTCCTACAGGGTTTTACATCAATGTCCTACAGGGTTTTACACTAATGTCCTACAGGGTTTTACACCAATGTCCTACAGGGTTTTACATCAATGTCCTACAGGGTTTTACATCAATGTCCTACAGGGTTTTACACCAATGTCCTACAGGGTTTTACACCAATGTCCTACAGGGTCTTACACCAAGCCTATCACAAGCCTATCACAAGACCTTTACACCAAGCCCACCACAAGACCTTTACACCAAGCCCACCCCAAGACCTTTACACCAAGACCACCACAAGACTTTTACACCAAGCCTATCACAAGACCTTTACACCAAGCCCACCACAAGACCTTTACACCAAGCCCACCACAAGACCTTTACACCAAGCCTATCACAAGACCTTTACACCAAGCCCACCACAAGACCTTACACCAAGCCCACCACAAGACCTTACACCAAGCCCACCACAAGACCTTTACACCAAGCCTATCACAAGACTTTTACACCAAGCCTATCACAAGACTTTTACACCAAGCCCACCACAAGACCTTAAAACAAGCCCACCACAAGACCTTACACCAAGCCCACCACAAGACCTTTACACCAAGCGCACCACAAGACCTTTACACCAAGCCCACCACATGACCTTTACACCAAGCCCACCCCAAGACCTTTACACCAAGACCACCACAAGACCTTTACACCAAGCCTATCACAAGACCTTTACACCAAGCCCACCACATGACCTTACACCAAGCCCACCACAAGACAATTACACCAAGCCCACTACAAGACCTTTACACCAAGCCCACCACAAGACCTTTACACCAAGCCTATCACAAGACCTTTACACCAAGCCTATCACATGACCTTACACCAAGCCCACCACAAGACCTTTACACCAAGCCTATCACAAGACCTTTACACCAAGCCCACCACATGACCTTACACCAAGCCCACCACAAGACAATTACACCAAGCCCACTACAAGACCTTTACACCAAGCCCACTACAAGACCTTTACACCAAGCCCACTACAAGACCTTTACACCAAGCCCACTGACGTCCGCGCACATACAAGAATTTTAGACCACCTGACACCAACTTAACTCCTCTCCCAATAACTTTTTTCTCTATCTCTCTCTCTCTCTCTCTCTCTCTCTCTCACAAACACACACACACACATAAACATAAACATAAACATAAACATAAACATAAACATAAACATAAACATAAACATAAACATAAACATAAACATAAACATAAACATAAACATAAACATAAACATAAACATAAACATAAACATAAACATAAACATAAACATAAACATAAACATAAACATAAACATAAACATAAACATATATATATATATATATATATATATATATATATATATATATATATATATATATATATATATATATATACAACAAACACACTCACACATATACAACTCACATGGAACCTTCACCACGCGTCTGGCTGTCCTAACATAAGAATATGTCGTAGGTTTAACTGGTAGGTTTTTACCATCACTAGATAGGTCTTTACCATCACTAGATAGGTCTTTACCATCACTAGATAGGTCTTTACCATCACTAGATAGGTCTTTACCATCACTAGATACGTCTTTGCTATCACTACTTTAAAAAACGTCTATATACGAGAGCGTCTCAATGTGTATGTGGGGGGGGGGGGGGCAGATGGGGGGGTCATCCCATGAAACATTATAAATATATCTGTGGGAGACACTAAAATAACGAAACATTATAAATATATCTTTGGGGGGACACTAAAATAACGAAACATTATAAATATATCTTTGGGGGGACACTAAAATAACGAAACATTATAAATATATCTTTGGGGGGACACTAAAATAACGAAACATTATAAATATATCTTTGGGGGGACACTAAAATAACGAAACATTATAAATATATCTTTGGGGGGACACTAAAATAACGAAACATTATAAATATATCTTTGGGGGGACACTAAAATAACGAAACATTATAAATATATCTTTGGGGGGACACTAAAATAACGAAACATTATAAATATATCTTTGGGGGGACACTAAAATAACGAAACATTATAAATATATCTTTGGGGGGACACTAAAATAACGAAACATTATAAATATATCTTTGGGGGGACACTAAAATAACGAAACATTATAAATATATCTTTGGGGGGACACTAAAATAACGAAACATTATAAATATTTCTTTGGGGGGACACTCGAATAACCTGATCAAATATTGTTTACATTTTTTTTTAGCCTGGCAGTCAAAAGCAGTAATGGCGGCTCTGACAAATCTCGAGACAACAAACTCAGCACCATGCCAGAGAAGGACGAGCCGTAAGTCTTGTGGAGTAGGCTGTTGTACTAGAGTGGTGCCTCGTCTCGTGTCTCAATATGGCGGCTGAGTGTGTCTGAATATGGCGGCTGTGTGTTTGTGTGTGTCACTATGGTGGCTGTGTGTGTCTCGTTATGACAGCTGGGTGTGTCGAAACCATCCCCCCCCCCCACCTTGTCCACCCTAATGCTCTATCACGTGACCTCAACTTTCGTTTGTTCCAGCCCTACGCTAGAGGAGCTCAAACTTTGGGGCGAGTCGTTTGAAAAGTTAATGAAATGTTCGGGTAAGTGGACGTAACTCTGGGATCTAGCTCTGGACAAGTAGCAGCCAGGAAACAATAGCAGTGGAACTTTTGTTTTTTGACAAACTTTTTAGACGACAAACTTTTTAGACGACAAGCTTTTTAGATGACAAACTTTTTAGATGACAAACCAGTTAGATGACAAACTTTTTAGATGACAAACTTTTTACATGACAAACCAGTTAGATGACAAACATTTTAGAAGACAAACCAGTTAGATGACAAACATTTTAGAAGACAAACCAGTTATATGACAAACATTTTAGAAGACAAACCAGTTAGATGACAAACACATAACTGACGCTATGCCATATTACCTCCCACAGGTGGCCGAAAGTTGTTCCGTGATTTTCTTAGGTCAGAGTATAGCGAAGAGAACATGCTTTTTTATTTAGCCTGCGAGGACTTAAAGAAAGAAGAAAACCCTGAGCTCATTGAGGAGAAGGCACGGCTGATATACGAGGATTATATATCTATATTATCACCTAAAGAGGTGGGTACACTTTGTATTATCACATAAGGAGGTGGGTCCATTTTATATTCTTACCTAAAGAGAAGGGGGTCTTCATTTTCTATTAGAAGTGGTCCACTTTATCCGTTATAGAGGAGGATAAACCATACACCCATCTGCCCTATGTAAACCATACACCCATCTGCCCTATGTAAACCATACACCCATCTGCCCTATGTAAACCATACACCCATCTGCCCTATGTAAACCATACACCATCTGCCCTATGTAAACCATACACCCATCTGCCCTATGTAAACCGTACACCCATCTGCCCTATGTAAACCATACACCCATCTGCCCTATGTAAACCATACACCCATCTGCCCGATATAAACCATACACCCATCTGCCCTATATAAACCATCATTCAATCTGCCCTATGTAAACCGTACACCCATCTGCCCTATGTAAACCATACACCCATCTGCCCTATATAAACCGTACACCCATCTGCCCTATGTAAACCATACACCCATCTGCCCTATGTAAACCATCATTCAATCTGCCCTATGTAAACCATACACCCATCTGCCCTATGTAAACCATACACCCATCTGCCCTATGTAAACCATCATTCAATCTGCCCTATGTAAACCATACACCCATCTGCCCTATGTAAACCATCATTCAATCTGCCCTATGTAAACCATACACCCATCTGCCCGATATAAACCATACACCCATCTGCCCTATATAAACCATCATTCAATCTGCCCTATGTAAACCATACACCCATCTGCCCTATGTAAACATACACCCATCTGCCCTATATAAACCATCATTCAATCTGCCCTATGTAAACCATACACCCATCTGCCCTATGTAAACCATACACCCATCTGCCCTATATAAACCGTACACCCATCTGCCCTATGTAAACCATACACCCATCTGCCCTATGTAAACCATCATTCAATCTGCCCTATGTAAACCATACACCCATCTGCCCTATGTAAACCATACACCCATTTGCCCTATGTAAACCATCATTCAATCTGCCCTATGTAAACCATACACCTATCTGCCCTTTGTAAACCATACACCCATCTGTCCTACTTCTCTTATACAGCCCGCCATTTCTAATGGTCGTGAGTAGACTTGCCATTACATGAAAGCGTGTATTAATCAATTTTAGCTGGTAAATCTCTGTGGTACTACACGTCTTTGCCCCTACATGTCTCTGCCCCTACACGCCTCTGCCCCTACACGTCTCTGCCACTACACGTCTCTGCTACTACACGTCTCTGCCCCTACACGTCTCTGCCCCTACACGTCTCTGCCACTACAAGTCTCTGCTACTACACGTCTCTGCCCCTACACGTCTCTGCCACTACACGTCTCTGCCCCCACACGTCTCTGCCACTAGCTCCCTACACGTCTCTGCCCCTACACGTCTCTGCTACTACACGTCTCTGCCCCTACACGTCTCTGCCACTACACGTCTCTAGCTCCCACCCCTCTGCCCGTGAGCACCCCACTGCTCACGATGTACAACAAGGCAAGGACTGTTATCTTTACGACCGGCTTCAGGAAGTTAATTGATAAAAAAATATCTAGGCCACCAGCACAAGCCCCGCCCCTCATTCAATACACCAGTGTGTTCATGTGAATTTTTTTTTTTCGTTTTTCTAAATTTCATTACATTTTTATACGCGTCCTTTTCGTGGCAACCTAAAATAAAGATAGCCTGGACTCAGGAAGATGGGTGAGATATTGAAGCAACCTCGGTTGTGTGGGTTGTCTTCTCCATAGTGTGTCTGTCTTCTCCCCATCCTCCCACATAGATCTAGTAGATCGACGCCTCTCCAATCAGGTTTCATTTTGTCCGCCCGGTGCTCTCCCTTCAGCTGGTTGTGTGCCCTAGTTTTCTGCTGTGCTGGCCGCCTACACAAGAAAGTGAGCGAACGTCGTGTAGGCGAGTACACACTTGTTGGCTCAATTCTCGGTCTCGAAGTTCATTTCTGATCAGACGCCGGCATCATTCCCTCTCCTTCTCCCCCCCCCCCCTTCCACTCCATCACCACCCCCATCCCCCACCTAACCGTTTTGATACACGAAGCTGCCATACTTCCTTGTGGTCGAAGGATAGAATGATTTTGTTGATCCATTTTTCCTTGTCTCTCTCATATTTGTGTTGTCCTATCGTTTATGTCTCTCTCATATTTGTGTTGTCCTATGTTCTATGTCTAAGTTTCCTTGTCTCTCTCATATTTGTGTTGTCCTATCTTTTATGTCTCTCTCATATTTGTGTTGTCATATGTTCTATGTCTAACTTTCCTTGTCTCTCTCATATTTGTATTGCCCTATCTTTTATGTCTAAGTTTCCCTCTCATATTTGTGTTGCCCTATCTTTTATGTCTAAGTTTCCCTCTCATATTTGTGTTGTCCTATGTTCTATGTCTAAGTTTCCTTGTCTCTCTCATATTTGTGTTGTCCTATGTTCTATGTCTAAGTTTCCCTCTCATATTTGTGTTGTCCTATCTTTTATGTCTAAGTTTCCCTCTCATATTTGTGTTGTCCTATGTTCTATGTCTAAGTTTCCTTGTCTCTCTCATATTTGTGTTGTCCTATGTTCTATGTCTAAGTTTCCTTGTCTGTCTCATATTTGTGTTGTCCTATCTTTTATGTCTCTCTCATATTAGTGTTGTCCTATCTTCTACGTCTAACCGCAACCCATCTAGGAGAGACAACTCCAAAATGAAACCAATGCTGCCTTGCAGTTTGTTTTTGGATGGACAACGAAAGAGAAGCAGTTTTAAATCGGAGTCAATGGGCAATATGGTCCAATATAAAATGATTGAGAACGAAGGAGGATATCTAATAAAGCATTAATTACAACTATGGTGATCATTTGATCAGTACACGTTCATGTGACACAAAGATCACTCTACAGAACTATGTTTTGATACAAAGATCACTCTACAGAACTATGATTTGATACAAAGATCACACTACAGAACTATGTTTTGATACAAAGATCACACTACAGAACTATGTTTTGATACAAAGATCACACTACAGAACTATGATTTGATACAAAGATCACACTACAGAACTATGTTTTGATACAAAGATCACTCTACGAAACTTTGTGGTGAGACCAAGATCACTCTACGAAACTTTGTGGTGAGACCAAGATCACTCTACGGAACTTTGTGGTGAGACCAAGATCACCAAAATGTGTACCACCAATTCAAATATATTTGAGCCACGAAACTGACTTGACCGGCCCTGTACTTGAAACGATTAGAGACAATATTTATCTGAGGTTTTATTGGGTTGCTGTGATACGTTGCCACAACAATGTGCTGGCGGTGAGTCAGCTGAAGGAAACCATGTTTGCCAGATTTCCGGTCTGCTGTCGTCTGCCCACTTTAAAAACTGGACAGGTTGGAAATGCTAGCGTTTCAATTCTTTTCTTCTGAATCGTCATCTTTATCAAACGGAAAAATAACCTAATTTATTTTACCAAGCTATTTTAAATCAAACTTTCTTGTCTCGTGGGTGTGGGTGGGGGTGGGGGTGTGGGGAAGGGGCGGGGGTGTTTGTTATTTTCTTGTCATGTTGCTTTAATATTTTTAAAATTTTGTAACCATGGCAACCCACAAGCTAAAATCTCGTTCAGGAATCAAATGTAATCCTCACAACATAATGCATACATAGATCAGTCCTGCCCATGAATAATTATCGAAATAAGTGTCGTCTGCTGGCCAAGTTAGTCGCAGAAATTTTTGTACTGTCGTTGGCCATTAAACGAAGATCTAAATTTTGGCCAACAGGAATGCCATTGTTACAATCTACATATTATTTCTAGTTTGTCTGGATCATAGATTGTCATAGATATAGTTCATTTGATCTTTTGTCTAGATCATAGATTGTCATAGATCTAGTTCATTTGCTCTTTTGTCTTGATCATAGATTGTCATAGATCTAGTTCATTTGCTCTTTTGTCTTGATCATAGATTGTGATAGATCTAGTGGATTTGCGCTTTTATCTAGATCATAGATTGTCATAGATCTAGTTAATTTGCTCTTTTGTCTAGATCATAGATTGTCATTTGTGGGTTTTTTTTTTTAAGAAAATTCTCCACTGAAATTATGTGAGTTTAGCTGGTTACCTCATACCCTCTTCCCCGTAACTGTAACTTGTAATGGAGCATTTAAAAAAACACAGATTGTGTGCATACCCCCCTCACCCCTTCCCTCTTCAATATGTAACTTGTAATTGAGGTTCAAAGACATGGATGTTCCTGCGAGCTCCCTCCCCCCCCCCCCCCCCCCCCCAGCCCACCAAGACAGGAAAGCTGCGCCTAGTTCAAACTTGCCCGTCCCACGTAAAATGCGACCAGACCCTTATCTGAAGATCTTTCTGATCTGGAATGTAAATATTGTTCGTAGATCATGGGGATAGCGCTCCATGTTGGGTAGAGGGGGGGGAGTTTCTGGAAACTCGTGCTCCAAGTAAACTGCTCGAGTATCTGGAAAGTTCTAAAGTTTGGCGAGGTAATGTTAAAGTAGATTTACAGATCTGCTCTTAAAGTAGATCACAGATCTACTGCTAAATCAGATCTTCTACTGTTAAAGTAGATCTAGAGATTTGCTGCTAAAGTAGATCTAGAGATCTGCTGTTAAAGTAGATCTTCTACTGCTAAAGTAGATCTTCTACTGCTAAAGTAGATCTTCTACTGCTAAAGTAGATCTTCTACTATTAAAGTAGATCTCAGATCTGCTTTTAAAGTAGATCTAAAGATCTGCTGCTCTGCTTGTGAACCACGTGATGACAGCTGTTTCTTGGCAGACGTTTTTGTCGTCAGTTGTTTCAATGTAAACATGGGGCGGGGACGTAACCAACGTCAACATGTGCCTGACATCATGACGTCACTAGTTGACTGTCAGCAGTCGTCAGACTTCAAGTCAAAGCTAGACCTGCAGGTTTGTGTCAAGCTTGCCTGTTGTCTCAGCTTCGTGTCAAGACCCAC